AACAGCAGCGAGGGCGCTCGCAATCGAGCGCCCGCATTGGGACTCGCGCGAAACACCAAGGTCGCGTCTCGCGCCTGAGCGGTCCCGACAGTCTCGCCGCCGCCGCCCCCCACTTCCTCTGCCGTCGTAGGAACTCTGCCGATGGGGGATACGAATGGGGGAGGGATTATGAGTCGAGGATAAGGATAAACAGTAAGTAAACCCCTCACATTCGATGTCTTATCAGTTTGATCCCTGGGCTGGCGTTCGCGTGCCGCGAGCCGTCGTAGACGGTTCCCCTCAGCCCGGAACATTTCTTTTACAGGTACCATGCCTTCTGAAAGGCAGCACCTCGCATTAGACAGCGCTACGAGTTGCCCCGCCCGCTGGAAGCTCGTCGCACGCCCCTCGACCTCTGCGCTCCTCGTCTCGACCTCGGGGCCCAGAACATGTTTTTGTTCTGGGTTTAACGCTCTTCATAGGATTGCCTGGTTCCCAGGAGACGAGCGAAAGTGGCGCCGCGCAAGACGGCCGCGCCGTTCTTATTTTATGGTATTTTTTCGTATTTTCTACCAACTTCCCTTCCCCCTTTCTCCCCGCTTCCCCGGCCTCCAACTGAATGGTTGGAGGCTGTTTCTTGACTCGTTCACGAGTCAGGTCGACGACAAGCCATGCATTTTTGCGCCGCGATGTCTTGTCGTCGTTGTATGTTGTTTTTTCTGAAACCTTTCCCCCCCTCCCTACCGCCCGGGTTTGCAGCGGGCCCATCCCTCCCTGGACGGGTCTGTTGGGTCAAATCGATTTGTATACCTCTAGCTGAGAGGGGTATGTGTCGGTTTGACCCTCAGGATGCGTCCGGACGTCAGCGGCCCCTGCCCGCCTTCCCGTCTATCACCCGACATCGAACGGCAGAACGCGGCTGCGTTCTGCCGCTTGATGGCGCGCCTCACTCCCGACGTAAATACGAAGCTGCCGCAGCAACGCGAACACCGATCGGTGCGCGCGTTCTGCGGCAATCTTTGCTTTTGTCTCGGGCTTCCCTCCTACCCCTTCTATCCCGCCTGGCCTCTGGGAGGCCGTCTGCGTTTGCGCGGATGGCTGTCCCTGGCTTTTCCATATGGTAAGTCAATGACGACGCGCGAACGCATCATGCGTTCGCGTTCCTTGTCTTGTTTTCTTTTCTTTTTCTCCCTTCAGGCCACCTGCCGCGACAGACACTCGCGCAGGCATATCTACGGCCCGGGAACATGTAGGTGGACTTCAGACAGCTACTAATAACTTGTCTTTAGTGTCTCCGACCATTCGCGAACTTTACACGCACTCCCGCGCCCGTTACCCGGTCCCGACCACATTTCAGCACCAAAACAAAAAATGCCGCTGTTTCCCATTTTTATAGGCTGGATTCGTACGTATTTTGCGTACGAATCCGACGCACCTATTTGCGTATCGTGGCGATGGTGCGTTCTCTTTTAAATCGCGTTTTTCGTCTTTTCTGCCCAAAACACCTCCCCGCCCCTACCTGCTTCGCAAGGCCATCCGCCATCGTGCGGATGGCTATTCCTGACTCCTACAAGGGTTAGAACGTTGACGATACGCGAACGTCGGGTACATTCGCGCTCGGCGACGTTCTAACCTTGTGGTTGTCATTGTCTTCCCCTCATCCTCCTTGCGCGCTTGCGCTCGCCCCCTATCGCCCCTCCACGAGTTTTTACATCGTCTATATCCTTATCTACCCTCAATGCAGCGTCTCCTGCCCGCATTTAGCCTTTCGACCGCTGGATCTGCTCCGGCATCCTCCTCCCCCTCCCACCCTATCATCCCTCGCGCTGACTGCAAGAGGTCGCGCCACGCTGCAGCAAAGGGCGTCCATGGACGTCCTTGAATGTCGTATTTCGATGGTACAAACGTTTCGTGCCCCACCCGATTGGTTCAGTTTCTATTAATGTTTCCGTGTCTCTGTTCCCATCCCACCTCGTGCCCGCCCCAGAGAGCATTTCAGCCTGGATGTTTCAATGGGGACATGTTTCCATTGTCTATTACACCCAATAATGTATTATACAGCAGCCATTTTCCCTAGATAGCATTGTGTGCGGTCACGACCCTACATATAATGCAAGTCACCGCCGGGATTTGAACTTATGCAGGTCATGTATATAGGGAATTTCTTCGCTGGTCTACTGTCGTCACTTTGGCGTAGTTGGTAAAGCGCGTGAGTGAACGGGTTATTCTGCCCGGGATCAAGGCCTCGAGCCAGGTTGCGGTGAGACTACGAGTCTTTAAGCACCCCTCCGCTGCTATGCCTGCTACTCCAAGTGCAACACCCCCCCTATCCCTGCCACTAGTCCCCATCATCCCTGTCATTTCCCTCCTTTCACCATCCTCTCCTACTATCCTCTGCCCCATTTTCGCATTTTGTTCTCTGCTTCCGGTGGACTGCTCACATTGTGTTGATTTTTTATTATTTTTACTCTCACATCGGGTGCTTGCCCTTACAGCACTGTAATTTATACTGCATGGGTGAAAATGGGTGGAAATACAAAATGTCATTGTTTGTTGTATTTACGACAGCCCGTACGGGGCTGTCGAGTCGGTCCAGCTGTCGCTGTCCGCCCGGTTTGTCTTCGATAGGCAGTTTTTGATGGTGCGGACTGCTGTGTGTCACTCCTTAGAGTGTGACAAAGATGACGACAAGCGAACGCCTCGCGTGTTCGCGTGCGTCGTCACATCTTTGTTTCTTTTCTTCTCCTGCACCCCACCTGCCACCTCGGACCCTCACGCTGGCGTATCTGCTGGCCCGAAGCATCCGAAGAGGATTCCTAGAGCCGCCCGCAGCCTGCTTCGAGCCCCTGCTATCGCGCGGAACTGCCACGACCGCTCCCGCCCCCGCTACCTGGCTCCCACCCACTCCAACACGAAAATTAAAAAGCAGTTGTTGAGCTATTTAGCAAGGTAGAATTGTACGTATTTTACGTATGATTCGATCGCGCCTCTTTGCGTGTCGGTACGCCGGTTGGTTCTCCTTCAATTCTGATTTTTCGCGTGTTAATCCCAATACACCTCCGCGCCCCTACCTGCTGCACCAGGCTGTCTGCCATCGTACGGACGGCTGTGCCTGACTACTACGATGGTAAGGACGTCGGTGGGATATGATCGTTCGGTACGTTTGCGCTCATTGACAAGTAATCTTTGTTTTTGTCACTTACCTCCCCTCCTCCTGCTCAGACCATCGTGCCACCGTCTCCAAGCACCCAAAACAGCCGAAGCGGGATTGTTAAGCTGCAAAGATATTGTCCCAAGCCTCTGCAAGTGTTTGGGACTGCCACGACCGCTCTCGTGCCCGCTACCCGGCGCCCACACCCTCCAACACGAAAACGAAGAAAGCGGTCGCTCAGCAATTTAGTAGGCCAGAAACGTATGCATTTGGCGTACGAGTCGAACGCGCCCATTTGCGTGTCCATACGTCGGTGCGCTCGCTTTCAATGTCATTTTTCCCCTTGTTAATCCCAACACACCTCCCCGCCCCTACCTGCAGCACCAGGTCGTCTGCCGTCGTGCGGATGGCTGAACCTGACTCCGACGCTGGTGAGGGAGTTGGCGCGATACGAACGCACGGTATGTTTGCCCTCATTGACATGTAATCTTTGATTATGTCACTTACCTCCCCTCCTCCTGCTCAGACCATCGCGCCGCCATCTCCAAGACCCCGAAACAGCATACGTGGGTACTTTAAGCTGAAACAATATTATTTCGGGCTTCTGCAAGCTTTTTGGACTGCCAGTACTGCTCCCGCGTCCGCTATCCCGCCCCGAATCCCTCGCAACACGAAGATAAAGGACCTGTCCAAGCCTCATAATCTGGGGCTCAAATTGTACACATTTGGCGCGCGATTCCGACGCGCCTATTTGCGTAGCTCTGCGATGGTGCGTTCTTACTTAATTCGTGTTATTCTCATCTTCTCTCCACAGACCTCCCTGCCCCTCCGTGCTGCACCAGGTCTTCTGTCATTGCAACGGATGGATTTACCATGCTCCTACAGTGGTATGGACGCTATTGAGACGCGTACGTGCAGTGTTTTTACTGTCGGTGAGGTTTCGTCTTTATATTTGTGGCTACCCACTCCCCCTCCTCCTCGCGCCCTTGTGTGGTTAGATCCAGGCCACCGAAACATGTAGTGTTGCTTCTGATAGCTGCCCACATCATATGGCAAGCCTCTCAAACCACTGCCAATGGCCACAGGCGCTCCCACGCCCACCACCTACACCCGACCGCTACGAACACGAAAACGAGGTACACAGCCGATCCTAGCATTCTTATCCTAGGATTGTACGCATGTTGCGTAGGAGTCGAATGCACCTATCTGCGTGTTCGTACGATGGTGCGTTCTCATGTAATTCGTGTTCTTCTCCTTTTTACCTGAAACCACCTATCCACCCCCTGATCTCACCCAGCATGGAAATCACAAATGTTCTCAAGTGGAGTGGTACACATTTCACGTAAGATTCGAGTACATCCATCGGCATGTCTGAGCCATTGTGCATTCCTTATCAATGAACATTTCTCTCCTGTGCCTCTGATCGTGGGATATTTTGATGGATCACAATAAATGAATGAAAATACAAAGTACCATTGTTTATTATATTTGCAATGGTCTGCCCATCGCCACCTCGCTTTCTGACGTATCCATGGAGATTTAACTGAACCTCAATATGTCGCAAGTGCACCTCTAAGCTTGATGAATCAGTTGTCCATCAAGCCTCTGGACAATTGTTCTAGAAATTTGGAAAAGCATAGCGCCATTAGTGGGCAGCCGACGGGGCAAGGGAGCTGTTGTATTTGATTGTCATGGATGGCGGGGGCACTCATCCGACCTTGCAAAAAAGAACATGATGTGTGCGAATCATGCAGAGTTGGTTGGAATAGAGCAGATGACTATAAAACCCATGGACAAGCCAAGTTTTGTAATTTTGTGACCACTAAAACCCATGTTACAGCCATCCGAGTTGATGACGCCTGACTGAGCATTGCACCTTCTGCACGCGGGTTAGGAAGGGGGTCCGGGGGATTCCCCCCGGGTTTGAGTTAGGGTCCGCGGTTAGGGTGTGGGTTATTTGAAACGTCCTTGCCTCGGTTGTCTCGGTGAGTGGATGGCTACTGAAGAACAACAAAATACAAAAGGCTGAGACTTGTTGTATTTACATTTCCGTGGTGCATACATTGGTGTTCCCTTTCCATGAGTGGAGCAAATCATGCTGGTTGC